GGGATCATTTCCGGTCCGGGATCATTTGCGGTTCAATTTGGGGATCATTTGCGGTCCGGGATCATTTGCGGTCCTGGGATCATTTGCGGACCCGTACAACTCTGGTCAGGAGTGATTTTTTGATTACGCCCAGAGTGTTCTTTTTCGATTGTCAGCCAATCAGCATGAAGCTGAAATGACCGGAAATCAAGTCGGTATTGGCAAGAGTTCCTCGTTTTTGGTTCGGGGGCGTAATTTGCCTTTTTTGAGATATCGAGCTGATATCGATATTAGGAAGCCAGGACCCTGGGACATCAAATTTCGAGAGATCATCTTTACAAAGTATCCCTATGTATGACGACCACAGATTTACGGATACGGAACGAAAACCACGCAGAAGCTAGTAGGAACAAATTTTGTGGGCTCAAAAAACGACGAGGCGAAAAAAATAGGGGAAAAGCGCGGCGCAGGACTGGGTGAGAGAATGCTCGCTCTCCGCATGCCTCTCTCTCCTTTTATCGCTGTTGGGTTTTTGCGCTGCGTCCCCTTTCGCTGCGCCCAAATTAACGAATTGCTACGAATTTTGGGATTAGAAGGCCCAAAAGTGAGCACCGGTGGTGCTGTATTATTGTGAGCCACAGGTCAATTCTCATACGGGGGTCGGGGGTATCTTTCTCCGATCTGGAAAAAGAAAAAAAAAAAGTAAAAAACTCATTTGAAACTGTCTAGACGCGCGCCGCCAGTTCTCAGGCGCCGCTTTTTTCTGGTTCATCAGAGATATTGGAAACCAAAGCGCCAACTGGACTACCGCTTCCGATCGCCAATAAAGCCTTCCCTTTATTCTTTGTGCCTGTTTGTACCCTTATAATTCGAAAGTATCAGTACGAAAACTTTTTCCTCATCCTCTCCGATACTCCTCCCAAGCCCCTTCCAGCCCTTTGGTTTTACCCTGCAACGTAAGGCACACTGATCAGCGGTAAGCTTTCGAAACGTATGTAAATCTGTCACGAAAAAGTGGAAAGAAAGATGTCGGTAAAATGTCCTCTTTACTGTTGAATTCCAAAAAACCTGGAGTGCAGTTTGAGGATAAATGGCATGAGCTCAAACCTACAGTAAACAAACTTTTAAAGCAACAAGCCGTCACCACTCAAGAATGGCAGAATCTTTTTTGGTAAGTAGTAATGGTTTGGTGGCTTGTGATCGATGTATGCGTGATCGATCTTCATAATAAGAATTTAATGTTGTCACTGTATGACAATTAGATTGCATATTACATTAAGACAGGATCGGTTTATAAGATTATTCCATCGGACTGACGTCTGAGTATTAGACAGATTGTAAGTTAAGTTATCTTAACAATGGGTATATGAAAATTACTTGGAGGTTAAGAATGGTTTGGAACCTTCACTGTTGACAATGTTCGGCTGTAAGTTTAAAAAAAATAATCTAAGCCTCTGAGCCCTGTGACGCTATATAATGCAGTTGTTGTACATTTTAAGTCTACTTTAATTTGTTGTTATGGGATGTGTCTATAATGACATTTACAACTCACATGCTTTTATTTGTTTTCTTTGCCTTAAAGAGTTATTTGATTAGGTCATGTAATTAACCGATTCTCAAGTAAGCATATACAACAAACAAACTGCAAATTCATCGAGCTATAAAGTCGCAGTTGAGCAGTAAAGGTCATAGGTTTAATGCAGTTAATATGCTTCAGATATAATGTTGCGATATCATTATTATGGTCCTGAAACAAAGCTGTGCTGCTAGGATATACTTCAGTAGTCTGCAGTTAATGAATAATACCTAGGGAAAACCAACTAAAGGCTCATGGGGTGAATCATTAAAATCAGAATATTGAAACGGTGGGGAATTGTACAAATTTCCCTAAAAATATTATTCAGATTCATACGATTAGAAAAAAAAGATTGTGGAACAAAATAGTTGAAAGAGGAAACAATATTGTGTAGGTGTGAAAAAAATTTCCTGTAAGGCTGGAAGGAGGAAAAAATATTGAGGAGCTAAAATTCACGAATCCTCTTATCAATAATTAAACACTCCACTCTTAAAGTGAACTTTATTATAAGAAAATCTTTTCCAGAGATGGTCAAACCAGGTGGGCAAAATCATTATCACAGCTGGTCAATTTGCTTGGTGCCCAGTCCTTAATGAAACCCCTGCGAGTCTTATTTTCCTTTTTTTGATTTAGTTGGGAGACGCCTTTACCAAGCTCTTGACCATCGGGAGAGTGAGAATGAAAAGTTACTTGCTCAGCAGGAAAATCTACTTGTCTCAGATGTTCAGATGGCACTTTTTTCAAGCCCAGTGTAGAATGTACTGTACATGTCTTTCTGTCAGTTTATTTGACATTTTAATTCTATTTGCAATGTAGGGACGTCCATAAAGTCTGTAACTGGGATGAAAAAGGATCACAAAAAGTACACAAGGCTTTGAAAGATGAAGTTACTAACTTTATTAAACAAGTGCAAGAGGTGGGGTGATTAGCATGTTTAGTGTTTAGGTAAACGTTAAGCTCAGTGATCCTGTGGTAAGTTAACAGCTTAACTGTAAATTCAGTTTGCCATGGGCATTGGACTTTGAACAAAGGAATGTAACTGTTTGATGTAAACATGAAATTCCCAGAACTGACTCATTTAAAAAGGAATGCATTACAGTCACTAATTACAATGAGAATTCAGGTAGTAATTTTGTCGTTCCCTTTGTTTTAATTAATTATGAATCTATCTACATGTATCAGTATAACTCAGCATGATATTGTGGTTGCTTTGAGATGTAAAAAAATATTTGAAACAAGCCATGACAGTTTCTGGACTTTGAGGAATGCTCAAATTCTACTTGCAGCGTGTTTTGAAACACGAAGATGATTCCACATTGTTGCGTGCCTACATCAGTGAGTGGTCCAAGTTTTTTACTCAGTGTAACTATCTCCCCAAGCCTTTTGGCACTTTGGAGTCCAACTTACAAGGCAAAGCTGGTGGAGGAGCCAGCAAAAGGCCTCTGACGGATGGTGTTACTGTTCAGAAGGTGTGTAGCACAGTGGCTGCCTATAGAATTAGAGGTTTAATTTATTATATGGCTAGCTCTGTGGGTGGGCAAGATGAACCGAATCTGATGATTGGCTACCCAAGCGGGTAAGATGGCCCTATATTTCTTGCCCATTCGGGATTACCAACAACAACAACATACTTTATTTTTCACAATTTACATTTACATGTATTGATAAAATTGCAACTTTTTTATGGAACCTTACGATATACCTTTTCAGTTGATTACCCGCTGTGTCCCGGAGGAAAATAGATGTGTTCTTCTTCCATGTGATAAATCCTTTATTGACCAAGCTCATTGGGTCTAGATGGCTGGATATTGACCTTGTTCTATTTTTTGGCGTGTTGATGGAGCTCAACTCTGTCTCGGTCCAGGAACAGGCAAAACAGATGTTGGCCAATATCCAGTCGTCTTGACCACACACTTGGTTAATAACCCATATGAATTTATGGAAATCTTACACCTGCCAACAGACATGTGATTTTTATGCCAGGAGTATGAGAATTCTTGAAAACAGCCCCTGCCAGCTCTGAATTCCAGAGACGACAATGGATTCCCAAGGACATTTCGGAGATTTCTGAAGACAAGTAATATGGCTGCCAGCACTTTTTGCTTGTAATTTGGAGCATCGGGGCAGAGCTGCACCATCATCTACATGAACTTTTTTACTCTTCTTTCATTGGTGCAAGTTTGCATATTTTTGAAAATGTTTTTGCTTAGGCTGTAATAGCTCAAATGTTTCAGCTATAGGTGAGAAATTGGTTTTAGATTGGTTGTGGATTGCTGTAGAAACAAGTGTGTCATTGTATTGCATCTTTTTGATCTTGCATTTGATCATGAATTTTTCTTAATCTTTCTTTTGTAGTTAATGCTTGACAGTTGGAATGATGGTATATTCTGTGCAATCAAATCAAGATTGCAGTCAAGTGCCATGAAGTTGGTTCATGCAGAGAGAAATGGAGAAGCTTTTGATTCCCAACTGGTTATTGGTGTCAGAGAATCATATGGTAATGACAATTATTTCATCTTAACAAAATCTTCTGATGGACATGGTAATGAAATAATTTTAGAAAATATCCCAAAGAAAATATGCGAACTGATTGGTTCAAATTTGTGTTTCTTTAACTTACTAGAAACACAGAACTAGCAGTGACAAGTTGTTGGCGTAATGATGGTGTAGCAAAGTGAATTTACATTTTGATGATCAAAATAAACAAGTTGTTTTCTTTTTATTATTGCGATAAAACATGTTCTCCGTGTTTCTATCATGTTATAGAGACATGAGTGCAAGTTTGGGAGAACTTGAAAAAGTTGTGGAAACACTCGTGTATTGACTCATGTTTCCACAGCATTTCTTGTTCTCCCAAACTTGCACTTGTGTTTCTATTAAACAATTAGGTTATGAGCTCGAGATTTCTATCGTGTGATGGTTGATGAAGGCGCAGCCTGAGTCAACTATCATGTGTAGAAATCGAGAGCGAATAATCTAATTGTTTTAGTATAAAGCTACTAGTCTTTCAAAACTTTATCTAAATCCTCTTCACAGACGCCTCAAAAACGCAAAGAAGCGGCCATCACTTTGTTAACAAGCGCGTACTGCTATGCTACTCACTATTTACAACAGAATAGATAGTGTGTAGCGTAGCCAATCAGAGGATGCCATTTGTGAGAGAACGCTAGTAGATTTATACTAGACTCGATAGAAACATGGTACATGTTTTCTATTTCTTAAATACAGTATGACAAGTGCTCTTTTTTTATTTGATTGAAGCCAGGTGATCCACTGGTTATGGCTGTACTGTAGGAGACCTGTGGTGGCCAGTGTGCTGGACCCTGGATCAAGTTGTCCGGGTTCGAGTCCTGGCTGGGGTTATTGCTTTGTGTTATTACCTTTACAGTGCCCTTGTCTACTCAAGTGTGTATATTGGTAAAATCAAGTGACTATTTAATATAAATCGGTACCAGCAAACTGTGAAGGACAACCTGAAAAAAATGATCCAGTTGGAGTGGCAACTCTCCCAGTTGCATCGTGCTACAGAAACTGGGATAAACTCTGCTGACTGGCAACATTGGCCAGTTTAGCCCTATTGACACTTTATCTTAACCTATCAGTGAAATAACAATACTTATTACAACAGTTACTTAGTCTTCACTCTTTTATGCCAAAGTGTGCCCACCTATAAAGGATCGGCCTGCCATAAATAAAACATGCTAAATGTGTTCAATATAGTTCTGACACGACCATCTTTTCAGTTAACCTTAGTTCAGAAATTTTGGACAAGCTCAAGATATACAGAGAGAACTTTGAAAAGGCTTACCTTGAAGCTACAGAGGAGTTCTACAAAACACAGGCTGCTGCATACCTGCAAGAGAATGGAGTGCAAAATTACATGAAATATGTGAGGATCGTTGACAGATACTTTTGCTGTTTATAATGTAGCAGTTCATAATCTGAGTTTACTTAAGGTGTTAAAGGGGGAAGGTCTTGTATGGCACATCTTGAAGAATGTAGCCTGAATTTATACTATTGACTGTTTTTCATCTTGACCTTTCAAAACTGCCATTACCTTGTTTCAGTCTATTTTTATCTTAAAGTAAATTCTCTTCACTTCTTGTGTGCAGTGACATTTTTTTTTCTTAGTCCTGAGAATTTCTGAACAATATCTCCAGTAGTTGATGAAATTTTTAATACTCCTTAGCTGTCTGCTTGACACAGAATAAATGTTCTAAAGAGAAATCTAATGTTTACAACTCTTGATAATTTAAAATGCTATACACTGTTTATATGTACCTGGCTATTGTTAATTATGTTTTACCACACTGCAGGCTGAAATGAAGTTAAAAGAGGAGGAACAGCGAGCTGTTCGGTACCTTGAAACAAGGAAAGGCTGTGACTCAGTTTCAGTGGTAAGTTTCTAAAGGAGCTATTTAAACTGAGTAATTATCACTGACACTGTTGTTAGGCCATTGAACTCTGCATAATATATGGAAATCCATCAGTTATGGACTGCTGCCTGCATGCTGTAACCTCTCTAATCATACTGGGGGAGGGGATGACAGCAGAAGGAAGTGGGGTGGGTTGGGGAGTATCATTCACTGCTATACAAGTAGATTTCCATCCAACCAGGTTATGACGTGATTAATGAGACCAAAGCTTTGAAGCAGAAGCTTGTTAACTTACCTGTTTCTTTCTTTTAGAGGTTACAAATAAAGTCAAGTGAATTTGAGGGTTACAAGATTTTAATGTATATATTGTTATTATTAGTGTCTACAGCTGTACCTTCTTTTTTTTTACTTATTTGGTCAAAGAATATGAATATCAATTCCTTCTGTGCATGCTGGGTACACCTGGGTCTTGTGTAGTGATATTATCTCGGTCCACAGATGTTTATGCGACTCCCATGACTCTTGCGTACCCCTCACTGATAGGTACATGTACTTGTATGGGCTGCCCAGTATTTCAGTAGTCTCGCTGTGTTCAAGATGAGATCCCTGAAAGGGAGACCTAGGAGACACACAAGTTACTCAATGCATAGTATTTTATCTGTTTCCTAGCCAGTTTCTAGAATCTACAGAGAACTAACTTACAAAATGTTGTTTAACAGATAAATTGAATATTTATGTACCTGATAAGTGCCCTGCTTTTATAGCTCACAGATCGTTGTGTAAATGTCCTGGTGGGAAGTTTCAAAGAGACCATATTGGCTGAATGCCCAGGAATGATTGCTGCTAATGAAACTGAGAGTGAGTATGTTGGGTTTAAACAGTAACGGTAATTTGTTTACTTATAATAAGAATTGTTGTAGTACCAATAAATACAGTGATAACCATTTCATGTACAGCATAAATTCACGCATGGTATTTTTAATTCAAATGTTGATTGAAGGATTTTCCCTTCCATCAGAGCTACTGCTAATGTTCCAGTTGATGGATCGTGTGCGAGGCGGAGTGGATCCCATGATAGCCAATTTAGAATCTTATATCGTCACCACAGGACTTGACGACATGAAGGCATCTGCTGATACTATTACATCTGTAAGTTCACTTATTTACTAGTTCTGTTGCACAGATGCATAGGCAATGTTTGATTTGTTAAATTCTGATTTTGCTATCAGGCTTAGGGGGAATAAAACAAAAGAAATTAATTCTTCTTCCCACAGTCATACTCCATGTTATTTCTTTTGTTTTATTCCCCCAAGCCTCGGAGCCAAGTTAGAATTTTAATATATCGAAATTGACCTGTTGATCTCACGTTGTTTTAATTCAATCACTTTGTTGTAACTATGCCTTGTGAGTTGCAAAGTAAAGATTCCCTTGTTCTCCTGTTGCTTCCAAGCTTAAAGAGAAGGGAATCACTTTGGCATACTTGTATGGTATTGCAACTATTTTGGTCTGACTGACTTCACTTTGTAGGATCATTAAACATCAATAAAATTTCTACTCTCATGTCATGGAATCTTACATACATGTATTTGCAGCTGCTCGGAGTAACGTAAGTTTACTTAAATTGTGTTTGCAGGATTCTGAGAAATATGTAGAGGAGTTACTTACCCTGTTCAACAGATTTAGTAAACTTGTCAAGGAAGCTTTCAATGATGACCCACGATTCCTCACAGCAAGAGATAAGGTTTGTTTAGTAGAAATCTTTGTTGACATAAAGGGACCCTTGCCAGTGGCTTGTCGTCATATTTGTGCTTGGTTCTTATAACGTTATAAATATTTTTTTATTATTCCCATCAAAATGTATTTGTTGTCCAATTACTCTGTAGTTAAACGAAAACAAAATAATTTTTAACTTAGTACAAGTAAGAAGACCATACGTATAGAAGGGGGCATCTCGTTTATTGATAAGACGTAAACGGCTTTTGGATGTAATTTAATGCAACTAATATACTAAAACATGGATCTGACATATCGCAAAAATTACTAAAGTAAAGTTTCGAGATTGAAGTGGTCAGTGATTTAAAAGCGGAGATTCCGTCGAGTGACAGACTCCTTTAATGTTCAGTTCGTAGCAGGATTACGTAAACAAGCGAATCTTCATACTTAAGACAACAACAACAACAACAACAAGAAGGTTTATTTGAACTGTAAAGCACAGTTATCTTGCAATAACAACGTGAAAAATTATGTTCTGTAACCTAAAAAATACCCAGCACTGGCAACAACGATAATAAAAACAACAGAAAAACATACTTGTCCTTCTTCATTCTCATTTCACGTGCCAAGGAACATTTATCAGTTTTCAGAAAGTTAACTAGCGAATAAAACCGTTTTCAGTTTGTAACGGGTGACATTGTCTTTTACGAATAACAGCCAACTTTAGGGACTTTCAGTAAATGTATCTCTTGACGAATGAAGTCTGTTTCTAATAAAATTGAATAAAGGATTCTCTGGTAAAAATTATTAAAAATGTGAGCTTTCGACAGCCAATCTTCTGTCCTCGACGGATAAAAATGAAATGAAGCGTTAAAATTTTGACTATAGAGAGTAATTCGCATAAATTAGTCTGAGTCCGTTTCCTTTTTGAATCATATTCATGCTTACATAATAACGTTGTTTTGTTTATTTTCTTTTGAATGGCAGGCATTCAAGACAGTTGTGAATGATAGTACAATTTTCAAGTTGGAACTTCCAAACAAAAACAAAGCGTAAGCCTGTTCGTTGTTGTTTTTTGTTTTTCTTTGGCTTGGCCCATCGATCATAAGGCCTCCCTCTAGGAGTATGACAGGCCATTTCTAAGGTCCCATCCACAATACGTCGGAGAAATTTGAAAACGCAGCTTTATTTCTACGGTTAGGCCTACCGTTCACAATAATCCGTCACCAAAACGGAGGTTTTCGAAAACGCTCTTCAAACCGGAGGAATTTGAAAACACCGGCTTTTCGTTTTCGTGTGGACGGAAAACATTTTGAAAACGGAGCTTTTCGAAAACGATGACATCACTGTAATCAAGTGATTTCCCTGCCCGAGATTACCTCTAACACAGACCCGAAATGACCGGTGATTGCTGCGTTTTCAAATTTCTCTGGCGTAGTGTGGACCGAAAACATGTGATACGTTTTCAGAGCGGAAACGCCGTTTTCAAATTTTTCCTGCCTATTGTGGACAGGGCCTAAGTTGCCTTTTGCCTCTGTGTCAAAACGAGTCTTTGTGCGAAACCATATGAAAATGTTTTCCGCCTGCAAGTTCATTTTCATGCAAATTAAACTCATTTTCATATGAAAGGTTTTGAAACAGAGGCACAAGGTAACTCGAAAATGGCCAGTTAGGTACTGAACTATTTGAAGAACCTGATGAAGAGCTGGGCACTAACCTGTGATGGACTAGCATTCCACATGTCCTTTAAATACGGAACCAACGGTGCATGTGGGCCGATTAAACATAGCTCGACTGAAGATTTTGTTTATCAATTATCACTTTTCAAGCATTTAAGGAGGCCTAAAAGCACCGTTCTGTTTTCTTTTTTTTTATCAGGGGTGGCAGTGGTGGTTTGAATGTCAAAACTCAGCCTGAGTCTCGTTGTCCAGAATTGCTGGCCAATTTCTGTGATATGCTGCTAAGGAAAACTCCGTACAGCAAAAAGCTGACATCTGATGAAATTCAAGCAAAGCTCAAAGATGTTGTGAGTCTCTTTCTGTGTTGTGATAAGGACTGGTGAAACTCTGGTGAAACAAAGTTTCGCTGAGTTATAGCAGTTTGGTTATTTAGAACGATTTGTTTTGTTACTTAGGCTAGTGCAGAACAGATTTATAAGCCACGTTCACGGATTGTAGTTTACTTCGGGGGTGTCAAGGTAAATGAGTAAAATAAGCGCGCCATCCCTAATCAGTATCCTCCTGTCAGTTGCCGACAAGATTTAATTAGCAGTTGTCCTGGGCATTTTATAAATTGAATTTTTACGGTATGTGCGTTGACTGCAGGGTCTTCGATTCATTGCTTAGTTTGTAGGATTTGTTCTAATCCCAGTTTGTGTCCTTTACAGTTGTTGGTTTTAAAATACGTTATCAACAAAGATGTTTTTATGAGGTATGTGAGTTTAATATCCATTGTGGGGCATTTTTATATAGAACATTGCCGCCATGTTTTGACTCACAGCTGAGTTAAGCCCCAGCCAAACGATCGCAACATTTCAACGCAACATATCGCAACATTGAAAGTGAAGAATGATCATTCTTCACGATGCGATGATCATTCTTCACTTTCATCTACAACCGCAGTTCAAATATGAATTATTTCATATATACTTCACATAAAATATGTTTTTTAGTTCATTATTTTTGTACATGTTCTCACCTTCCTCTGATATAAATCCATGCCATTCGTTATTTTTGGATCGGGATCATTTGCGGTCCAATATGGGGATCATTTCCGGTCCGGGATCATTTGCGGTTCAATTTGGGGATCATTTGCGGTCCGGGATCATTTGCGGTCCTGGGATCATTTGCGGACCCGTACAACTCTGGTCAGGAGTGATTTTTTGATTACGCCCAGAGTGTTCTTTTTCGATTGTCAGCCAATCAGCATGAAGCTGAAATGACCGGAAATCAAGTCGGTATTGGCAAGAGTTCCTCGTTTTTGGTTCGGGGGCGTAATTTGCCTTTTTTGAGATATCGAGCTGATATCGATATTAGGAAGCCAGGACCCTGGGACATCAAATTTCGAGAGATCATCTTTACAAAGTATCCCTATGTATGACGACCACAGATTTACGGATACGGAACGAAAACCACGCAGAAGCTAGTAGGAACAAATTTTGTGGGCTCAAAAAACGACGAGGCGAAAAAAATAGGGGAAAAGCGCGGCGCAGGACTGGGTGAGAGAATGCTCGCTCTCCGCATGCCTCTCTCTCCTTTTATCGCTGTTGGGTTTTTGCGCTGCGTCCCCTTTCGCTGCGCCCAAATTAACGAATTGCTACGAATTTTGGGATTAGAAGGCCCAAAAGTGAGCACCGGTGGTGCTGTATTATTGTGAGCCACAGGTCAATTCTCATACGGGGGTCGGGGGTATCTTTCTCCGATCTGGAAAAAGAAAAAAAAAAAGTAAAAAACTCATTTGAAACTGTCTAGACGCGCGCCGCCAGTTCTCAGGCGCCGCTTTTTTCTGGTTCATCAGAGATATTGGAAACCAAAGCGCCAACTGGACTACCGCTTCCGATCGCCAATAAAGCCTTCCCTTTATTCTTTGTGCCTGTTTGTACCCTTATAATTCGAAAGTATCAGTACGAAAACTTTTTCCTCATCCTCTCCGATACTCCTCCCAAGCCCCTTCCAGCCCTTTGGTTTTACCCTGCAACGTAAGGCACACTGATCAGCGGTAAGCTTTCGAAACGTATGTAAATCTGTCACGAAAAAGTGGAAAGAAAGATGTCGGTAAAATGTCCTCTTTACTGTTGAATTCCAAAAAACCTGGAGTGCAGTTTGAGGATAAATGGCATGAGCTCAAACCTACAGTAAACAAACTTTTAAAGCAACAAGCCGTCACCACTCAAGAATGGCAGAATCTTTTTTGGTAAGTAGTAATGGTTTGGTGGCTTGTGATCGATGTATGCGTGATCGATCTTCATAATAAGAATTTAATGTTGTCACTGTATGACAATTAGATTGCATATTACATTAAGACAGGATCGGTTTATAAGATTATTCCATCGGACTGACGTCTGAGTATTAGACAGATTGTAAGTTAAGTTATCTTAACAATGGGTATATGAAAATTACTTGGAGGTTAAGAATGGTTTGGAACCTTCACTGTTGACAATGTTCGGCTGTAAGTTTAAAAAAAATAATCTAAGCCTCTGAGCCCTGTGACGCTATATAATGCAGTTGTTGTACATTTTAAGTCTACTTTAATTTGTTGTTATGGGATGTGTCTATAATGACATTTACAACTCACATGCTTTTATTTGTTTTCTTTGCCTTAAAGAGTTATTTGATTAGGTCATGTAATTAACCGATTCTCAAGTAAGCATATACAACAAACAAACTGCAAATTCATCGAGCTATAAAGTCGCAGTTGAGCAGTAAAGGTCATAGGTTTAATGCAGTTAATATGCTTCAGATATAATGTTGCGATATCATTATTATGGTCCTGAAACAAAGCTGTGCTGCTAGGATATACTTCAGTAGTCTGCAGTTAATGAATAATACCTAGGGAAAACCAACTAAAGGCTCATGGGGTGAATCATTAAAATCAGAATATTGAAACGGTGGGGAATTGTACAAATTTCCCTAAAAATATTATTCAGATTCATACGATTAGAAAAAAAAGATTGTGGAACAAAATAGTTGAAAGAGGAAACAATATTGTGTAGGTGTGAAAAAAATTTCCTGTAAGGCTGGAAGGAGGAAAAAATATTGAGGAGCTAAAATTCACGAATCCTCTTATCAATAATTAAACACTCCACTCTTAAAGTGAACTTTATTATAAGAAAATCTTTTCCAGAGATGGTCAAACCAGGTGGGCAAAATCATTATCACAGCTGGTCAATTTGCTTGGTGCCCAGTCCTTAATGAAACCCCTGCGAGTCTTATTTTCCTTTTTTTGATTTAGTTGGGAGACGCCTTTACCAAGCTCTTGACCATCGGGAGAGTGAGAATGAAAAGTTACTTGCTCAGCAGGAAAATCTACTTGTCTCAGATGTTCAGATGGCACTTTTTTCAAGCCCAGTGTAGAATGTACTGTACATGTCTTTCTGTCAGTTTATTTGACATTTTAATTCTATTTGCAATGTAGGGACGTCCATAAAGTCTGTAACTGGGATGAAAAAGGATCACAAAAAGTACACAAGGCTTTGAAAGATGAAGTTACTAACTTTATTAAACAAGTGCAAGAGGTGGGGTGATTAGCATGTTTAGTGTTTAGGTAAACGTTAAGCTCAGTGATCCTGTGGTAAGTTAACAGCTTAACTGTAAATTCAGTTTGCCATGGGCATTGGACTTTGAACAAAGGAATGTAACTGTTTGATGTAAACATGAAATTCCCAGAACTGACTCATTTAAAAAGGAATGCATTACAGTCACTAATTACAATGAGAATTCAGGTAGTAATTTTGTCGTTCCCTTTGTTTTAATTAATTATGAATCTATCTACATGTATCAGTATAACTCAGCATGATATTGTGGTTGCTTTGAGATGTAAAAAAATATTTGAAACAAGCCATGACAGTTTCTGGACTTTGAGGAATGCTCAAATTCTACTTGCAGCGTGTTTTGAAACACGAAGATGATTCCACATTGTTGCGTGCCTACATCAGTGAGTGGTCCAAGTTTTTTACTCAGTGTAACTATCTCCCCAAGCCTTTTGGCACTTTGGAGTCCAACTTACAAGGCAAAGCTGGTGGAGGAGCCAGCAAAAGGCCTCTGACGGATGGTGTTACTGTTCAGAAGGTGTGTAGCACAGTGGCTGCCTATAGAATTAGAGGTTTAATTTATTATATGGCTAGCTCTGTGGGTGGGCAAGATGAACCGAATCTGATGATTGGCTACCCAAGCGGGTAAGATGGCCCTATATTTCTTGCCCATTCGGGATTACCAACAACAACAACATACTTTATTTTTCACAATTTACATTTACATGTATTGATAAAATTGCAACTTTTTTATGGAACCTTACGATATACCTTTTCAGTTGATTACCCGCTGTGTCCCGGAGGAAAATAGATGTGTTCTTCTTCCATGTGATAAATCCTTTATTGACCAAGCTCATTGGGTCTAGATGGCTGGATATTGACCTTGTTCTATTTTTTGGCGTGTTGATGGAGCTCAACTCTGTCTCGGTCCAGGAACAGGCAAAACAGATGTTGGCCAATATCCAGTCGTCTTGACCACACACTTGGTTAATAACCCATATGAATTTATGGAAATCTTACACCTGCCAACAGACATGTGATTTTTATGCCAGGAGTATGAGAATTCTTGAAAACAGCCCCTGCCAGCTCTGAATTCCAGAGACGACAATGGATTCCCAAGGACATTTCGGAGATTTCTGAAGACAAGTAATATGGCTGCCAGCACTTTTTGCTTGTAATTTGGAGCATCGGGGCAGAGCTGCACCATCATCTACATGAACTTTTTTACTCTTCTTTCATTGGTGCAAGTTTGCATATTTTTGAAAATGTTTTTGCTTAGGCTGTAATAGCTCAAATGTTTCAGCTATAGGTGAGAAATTGGTTTTAGATTGGTTGTGGATTGCTGTAGAAACAAGTGTGTCATTGTATTGCATCTTTTTGATCTTGCATTTGATCATGAATTTTTCTTAATCTTTCTTTTGTAGTTAATGCTTGACAGTTGGAATGATGGTATATTCTGTGCAATCAAATCAAGATTGCAGTCAAGTGCCATGAAGTTGGTTCATGCAGAGAGAAATGGAGAAGCTTTTGATTCCCAACTGGTTATTGGTGTCAGAGAATCATATGGTAATGACAATTATTTCATCTTAACAAAATCTTCTGATGGACATGGTAATGAAATAATTTTAGAAAATATCCCAAAGAAAATATGCGAACTGATTGGTTCAAATTTGTGTTTCTTTAACTTACTAGAAACACAGAACTAGCAGTGACAAGTTGTTGGCGTAATGATGGTGTAGCAAAGTGAATTTACATTTTGATGATCAAAATAAACAAGTTGTTTTCTTTTTATTATTGCGATAAAACATGTTCTCCGTGTTTCTATCATGTTATAGAGACATGAGTGCAAGTTTGGGAGAACTTGAAAAAGTTGTGGAAACACTCGTGTATTGACTCATGTTTCCACAGCATTTCTTGTTCTCCCAAACTTGCACTTGTGTTTCTATTAAACAATTAGGTTATGAGCTCGAGATTTCTATCGTGTGATGGTTGATGAAGGCGCAGCCTGAGTCAACTATCATGTGTAGAAATCGAGAGCGAATAATCTAATTGTTTTAGTATAAAGCTACTAGTCTTTCAAAACTTTATCTAAATCCTCTTCACAGACGCCTCAAAAACGCAAAGAAGCGGCCATCACTTTGTTAACAAGCGCGTACTGCTATGCTACTCACTATTTACAACAGAATAGATAGTGTGTAGCGTAGCCAATCAGAGGATGCCATTTGTGAGAGAACGCTAGTAGATTTATACTAGACTCGATAGAAACATGGTACATGTTTTCTATTTCTTAAATACAGTATGACAAGTGCTCTTTTTTTATTTGATTGAAGCCAGGTGATCCACTGGTTATGGCTGTACTGTAGGAGACCTGTGGTGGCCAGTGTGCTGGACCCTGGATCAAGTTGTCCGGGTTCGAGTCCTGGCTGGGGTTATTGCTTTGTGTTATTACCTTTACAGTGCCCTTGTCTACTCAAGTGTGTATATTGGTAAAATCAAGTGACTATTTAATATAAATCGGTACCAGCAAACTGTGAAGGACAACCTGAAAAAAATGATCCAGTTGGAGTGGCAACTCTCCCAGTTGCATCGTGCTACAGAAACTGGGATAAACTCTGCTGACTGGCAACATTGGCCAGTTTAGCCCTATTGACACTTTATCTTAACCTATCAGTGAAATAACAATACTTATTACAACAGTTACTTAGTCTTCACTCTTTTATGCCAAAGTGTGCCCACCTATAAAGGATCGGCCTGCCATAAATAAAACATGCTAAATGTGTTCAATATAGTTCTGACACGACCATCTTTTCAGTTAACCTTAGTTCAGAAATTTTGGACAAGCTCAAGATATACAGAGAGAACTTTGAAAAGGCTTACCTTGAAGCTACAGAGGAGTTCTACAAAACACAGGCTGCTGCATACCTGCAAGAGAATGGAGTGCAAAATTACATGAAATATGTGAGGATCGTTGACAGATACTTTTGCTGTTTATAATGTAGCAGTTCATAATCTGAGTTTACTTAAGGTGTTAAAGGGGGAAGGTCTTGTATGGCACATCTTGAAGAATGTAGCCTGAATTTATACTATTGACTGTTTTTCATCTTGACCTTTCAAAACTGCCATTACCTTGTTTCAGTCTATTTTTATCTTAAAGTAAATTCTCTTCACTTCTTGTGTGCAGTGACATTTTTTTTTCTTAGTCCTGAGAATTTCTGAACAATATCTCCAGTAGTTGATGAAATTTTTAATACTCCTTAGCTGTCTGCTTGACACAGAATAAATGTTCTAAAGAGAAATCTAATGTTTACAACTCTTGATAATTTAAAATGCTATACACTGTTTATATGTACCTGGCTATTGTTAATTATGTTTTACCACACTGCAGGCTGAAATGAAGTTAAAAGAGGAGGAACAGCGAGCTGTTCGGTACCTTGAAACAAGGAAAGGCTGTGACTCAGTTTCAGTGGTAAGTTTCTAAAGGAGCTATTTAAACTGAGTAATTATCACTGACACTGTTGTTAGGCCATTGAACTCTGCATAATATATGGAAATCCATCAGTTATGGACTGCTGCCTGCATGCTGTAACCTCTCTAATCATACTGGGGGAGGGGATGACAGCAGAAGGAAGTGGGGTGGGTTGGGGAGTATCATTCACTGCTATACAAGTAGATTTCCATCCAACCAGGTTATGACGTGATTAATGAGACCAAAGCTTTGAAGCAGAAGCTTGTTAACTTACCTGTTTCTTTCTTTTAGAGGTTACAAATAAAGTCAAGTGAATTTGAGGGTTACAAGATTTTAATGTATATATTGTTATTATTAGTGTCTACAGCTGTACCTTCTTTTTTTTTACTTATTTGGTCAAAGAATATGAATATCAATTCCTTCTGTGCATGCTGGGTACACCTGGGTCTTGTGTAGTGATATTATCTCGGTCCACAGATGTTTATGCGACTCCCATGACTCTTGCGTACCCCTCACTGATAGGTACATGTACTTGTATGGGCTGCCCAGTATTTCAGTAGTCTCGCTGTGTTCAAGATGAGATCCCTGAAAGGGAGACCTAGGAGACACACAAGTTACTCAATGCATAGTATTTTATCTGTTTCCTAGCCAGTTTCTAGAATCTACAGAGAACTAACTTACAAAATGTTGTTTAACAGATAAATTGAATATTTATGTACCTGATAAGTGCCCTGCTTTTATAGCTCACAGATCGTTGTGTAAATGTCCTGGTGGGAAGTTTCAAAGAGACCATATTGGCTGAATGCCCAGGAATGATTGCTGCTAATGAAACTGAGAGTGAGTATGTTGGGTTTAAACAGTAACGGTAATTTGTTTACTTATAATAAGAATTGTTGTAGTACCAATAAATACAGTGATAACCATTTCATGTACAGCATAAATTCACGCATGGTATTTTTAATTCAAATGTTGATTGAAGGATTTTCCCTTCCATCAGAGCTACTGCTAATGTTCCAGTTGATGGATCGTGTGCGAGGCGGAGTGGATCCCATGATAGCCAATTTAGAATCTTATATCGTCACCACAGGACTTGACGACATGAAGGCATCTGCTGATACTATTACATCTGTAAGTTCACTTATTTACTAGTTCTGTTGCACAGATGCATAGGCAATGTTTGATTTGTTAAATTCTGATTTTGCTATCAGGCTTAGGGGGAATAAAACAAAAGAAATTAATTCTTCTTCCCACAGTCATACTCCATGTTATTTCTTTTGTTTTATTCCCCCAAGCCTCGGAGCCAAGTTAGAATTTTAATATATCGAAATTGACCTGTTGATCTCACGTTGTTTTAATTCAATCACTTTGTTGTAACTATGCCTTGTGAGTTGCAAAGTAAAGATTCCCTTGTTCTCCTGTTGCTTCCAAGCTTAAAGAGAAGGGAATCACTTTGGCATACTTGTATGGTATTGCAACTATTTTGGTCTGACTGACTTCACTTTGTAGGATCATTAAACATCAATAAAATTTCTACTCTCATGTCATGGAATCTTACATACATGTATTTGCAGCTGCTCGGAGTAACGTAAGTTTACTTAAATTGTGTTTGCAGGATTCTGAGAAATATGTAGAGGAGTTACTTACCCTGTTCAACAGATTTAGTAAACTTGTCAAGGAAGCTTTCAATGATGACCCACGATTCCTCACAGCAAGAGATAAGGTTTGTTTAGTAGAAATCTTTGTTGACATAAAGGGACCCTTGCCAGTGGCTTGTCGTCATATTTGTGCTTGGTTCTTATAACGTTATAAATATTTTTTTATTATTCCCATCAAAATGTATTTGTTGTCCAATTACTCTGTAGTTAAACGAAAACAAAATAATTTTTAACTTAGTACAAGTAAGAAGACCATACGTATAGAAGGGGGCATCTCGTTTATTGATAAGACGTAAACGGCTTTTGGATGTAATTTAATGCAACTAATATACTAAAACATGGATCTGACATATCGCAAAAATTACTAAAGTAAAGTTTCGAGATTGAAGTGGTCAGTGATTTAAAAGCGGAGATTCCGTCGAGTGACAGACTCCTTTAATGTTCAGTTCGTAGCAGGATTACGTAAACAAGCGAATCTTCATACTTAAGACAACAACAACAACAACAACAAGAAGGTTTATTTGAACTGTAAAGCACAGTTATCTTGCAATAACAACGTGAAAAATTATGTTCTGTAACCTAAAAAATACCCAGCACTGGCAACAACGATAATAAAAACAACAGAAAAACATACTTGTCCTTCTTCATTCTCATTTCACGTGCCAAGGAACATTTATCAGTTTTCAGAAAGTTAACTAGCGAATAAAACCGTTTTCAGTTTGTAACGGGTGACATTGTCTTTTACGAATAACAGCCAACTTTAGGGACTTTCAGTAAATGTATCTCTTGACGAATGAAGTCTGTTTCTAATAAAATTGAATAAAGGATTCTCTGGTAAAAATTATTAAAAATGTGAGCTTTCGACAGCCAATCTTCTGTCCTCGACGGATAAAAATGAAATGAAGCGTTAAAATTTTGACTATAGAGAGTAATTCGCATAAATTAGTCTGAGTCCGTTTCCTTTTTGAATCATATTCATGCTTACATAATAACGTTGTTTTGTTTATTTTCTTTTGAATGGCAGGCATTCAAGACAGTTGTGAATGATAGTACAATTTTCAAGTTGGAACTTCCAAACAAAAACAAAGCGTAAGCCTGTTCGTTGTTGTTTTTTGTTTTTCTTTGGCTTGGCCCATCGATCATAAGGCCTCCCTCTAGGAGTATGACAGGCCATTTCTAAGGTCCCATCCACAATACGTCGGAGAAATTTGAAAACGCAGCTTTATTTCTACGGTTAGGCCTACCGTTCACAATAATCCGTCACCAAAACGGAGGTTTTCGAAAACGCTCTTCAAACCGGAGGAATTTGAAAACGCCGGCTTTTCGTTTTCGTGTGGACGGAAAACATTTTGAAAACGGAGCTTTTCGAAAACGATGACATCACTGTAATCAAGTGATTTCCCTGCCCGAGATTACCTCTAACACAGACCCGAAATGACCGGTGATTGCTGCGTTTTCAAATTTCTCTGGCGTAGTGTGGACCGAAAACATGTGATACGTTTTCAGAGCGGAAACGCCGTTTTCAAATTTTTCCTGCCTATTGTGGACAGGGCCTAAGTTGCCTTTTGCCTCTGTGTCAAAACGAGTCTTTGTGCGAAACCATATGAAAATGTTTTCCGCCTGCAAGTTCATTTTCATGCAAATTAAACTCATTTTCATATGAAAGGTTTTGAAACAGAGGCACAAGGTAACTCGAAAATGGCCAGTTAGGTACTGAACTATTTGAAGAACCTGATGAAGAGCTGGGCACTAACCTGTGATGGACTAGCATTCCACATGTCCTTTAAATACGGAACCAACGGTGCATGTGGGCCGATTAAACATAGCTCGACTGAAGATTTTGTTTATCAATTATCACTTTTCAAGCATTTAAGGAGGCCTAAAAGCACCGTTCTGTTTTCTTTTTTTTTATCAGGGGTGGCAGTGGTGGTTTGAATGTCAAAACTCAGCCTGAGTCTCGTTGTCCAGAATTGCTGGCCAATTTCTGTGATATGCTGCTAAGGAAAACTCCGTACAGCAAAAAGCTGACATCTGATGAAATTCAAGCAAAGCTCAAAGATGTTGTGAGTCTCTTTCTGTGTTGTGATAAGGACTGGTGAAACTCTGGTGAAACAAAGTTTCGCTGAGTTATAGCAGTTTGGTTATTTAGAACGATTTGTTTTGTTACTTAGGCTAGTGCAGAACAGATTTATAAGCCACGTTCACGGATTGTAGTTTACTTCGGGGGTGTCAAGGTAAATGAGTAAAATAAGCGCGCCATCCCTAATCAGTATCCTCCTGTCAGTTGCCGACAAGATTTAATTAGCAGTTGTCCTGGGCATTTTATAAATTGAATTTTTACGGTATGTGCGTTGACTGCAGGGTCTTCGATTCATTGCTTAGTTTGTAGGATTTGTTCTAATCCCAGTTTGTGTCCTTTACAGTTGTTGGTTTTAAAATACGTTATCAACAAAGATGTTTTTATGAGGTATGTGAGTTTAATATCCATTGTGGGGCATTTTTATATAGAACATTGCCGCCATGTTTTGACTCACAGCTGAGTTAAGCCCCAGCCAAACGATCGCAACATTTCAACGCAACATATCGCAACATTGAAAGTGAAGAATGATCATTCTTCACGATGCGATGATCATTCTTCACTTTCATCTACAACCGCAGTTCAAATATGAATTATTTCATATATACTTCACATCATATCGCAACATTGTTGGGCGCAGCATGTTGCGTACGTTTGGCCACCCTGTTGCGATGTGTTGCGATGTGCTGCGACATGTTGGGTGTTGTTGGCTCAAATTTGAAACTGGTCAAATTTTTCATGTAACATTTGTGGATGTTGCATGATGTTGTAGTCGTTTGGCCAGGTTCGTGCAACAATGTTGCACCCGGGCATGCGCTCTAGTTCGATTTTCGATGCCTAAAGCGCAAGACGTCGCAACAGGGTGGCCAAACGCGTTCAACATGTTGCACCCACAAATGTTGCGATATGTTGTGCTGAAATGTTGCGATCGTTTGGCCAGGGAATAAAGAGTAATAAAGTAATAAAGAGGTTTTAAGCACGGTAGTACATTTACAGCTTCTGTTGGCAGGTACAGTTTCCTCCTTAAACTGAAGGCATCAAAACATTACAAAAGGATTGCACTGTGTGATTCTCATGCCGGAACGTCGGTTTTTAAACTTGTCAAATCTTCCTCTCCTCGAGAGAAGTGTGAAATTCACCGCACCCTAAAGGATTCTGCGATACTGATAATGTGGCTGTAAAAAGTTATTTTGAAAAAAAAAAAA